AAAGTTAAAATTCTTCAACTTAATTTTTGAAAGTGTTCCGGAAATTTTGACATTTTTATACTAAATATATCTTAAATTAAAGTTTATGTTATATTATTAATTATGAAAAAAAAACAATTCAGACTTTATTTCGTTTTCATGGTAAAAACAGACATCGAAGTTAATAAAAAAAAATACGATATTTGTAAAAAAATTCTTTTTTATATTTTTAACTTTATAATGCTATAACTTTTTGAAAAATGTATGGATCATAATAATTTTTTTAAGATAATTACTATTTGTATTCTTATTTTGTGCAACAAACTTTTTTTTAAATCGGACCATTTCCCTTTATTTTACTAACTTTAAAAATAAGGGTATTTAATATATGTATTACAATAAACTAATTTGCATATTTTAGGTAGTAACACAGAACGAAAATGACAATGAAAATCTCAAAAGTTTTGTAGTTAATTTAAAGAAAGAAATTTCTGATGAATGTAATTATTTAACAATTATTGTAATAATTCATATACTTTATTATATTATTGTATTTTTTAGATGACACACTATACAGATTACGCGATGTACAGATAAAAAGATAATTCTACAAGGCACAATTGAACAATACAGAATTTGGTGAACGTCACAATCATATTGCTGGTGATAATATACTATATAAAATCTCAATAAAATTTCCTCCGAATTTGATATATAATTGGTATTACGAAGAATAAACGTATTACAAAAGAAAAGTTATTATTTTATTTAAATCTTCCCATGCCCTATTTTTTTTTAACAATTATTTAAAATATTCTACAATTATAAAAAATTGTATTCTCTATATCCAATAATTTATTGTATTTCATTATTATTATTGCTTTAAGTATATTTTAATTTCATTTTCAATTTTTTGTAGATTCTGTGCCGCTCTCGGTTTATTTGTACTTGTAATTGCTTAAAATAATCCGCCAATCTTATTATTTGGACAGAAATATAAAAGGTATGTCTGTTAAATGCCATAAATTCTTTTTGACATCTATTTTATTTGCATATCCTAATAATATTTTTAAGTTATGTTAAATAAAAAATAATTTGGTTTCGTCATTTTTTTGTTCTTAAAACAGAGTTTCAATAAAAAAATTTCATAAAAATGATGCAAATACAAATATTTTATTAGCTAATGCTAAAATTTTAAATAGACAATAGATTTGAAGTCAAATTCCTTTCCTTTTAGTTAAACATACAGCATTATCAAGCAATTTTAATTACCCTCATTCAAAAAATTTGCACTGCCAGTGTTTTTATTAATGTTCCATTTATTTCAAAGTAAAAAGTTCAAAAATAGTAATTTACATAATTCCAGCCTTTTACTCAAAAGCATTAGTTTTAGTTGCCAACAAGATTTAAATTTCTCATAACAATACTCGATTTTTAACTTAATGACAATAATTGTTTAATTGATTTTTAATTGCACAATTGTAATTCTTAATAGTTAGTAAACTGTAAATATTATTTTAATGCGAAATAAAAATATATATTTAAATATTTTAGCTATGTGAAACCTATTAAAATATTTCTTAAACCCATTATTGTAACATCTCAGCTTTTGGATATAAGCGACAAAATTGTCGTAACACAAATTAAACACCAAAAGAGGAGGTTGTAGTAGGTAAAGTGTTTATGACAATGATGTTGAGTCTGCCGCCTGGGTATTCACGTCCGTGTGATCATACGACAGTTACCGTGCTCAGCTGACACTCCGGATTAGCTGCGAGTGTCAAAAGGCCGCTGTTGTAGGAAGGGAATAAAAGTAACACCTAGGTATAAGGTACAGATGAAGTGCAAGACACAAGTATTATGAAATGTCGAGGATAAGAGTAGGTAGGTTAAAAAAGAAAAAAGACTTGAATTAATGCAGTAAGTCGGACAGCAACAACCGAGTACTGAGACTGATAAATGACACGAAGCACTGGAGTCGACTGACCACGTTGGGCAGTATTTTTGGGTTTTTATAATTATTCTGACGATTGCCAATTTCGCAATATATATTAATTGTTAATTCATTAGTCCTTAAAAGCGGATGTGCTGCCTGTATTTTATTATNCAGTCTCTAAAAGCGGATGTGCTGCCTGTATTTTATTATAATAAATTCTTACAATGATGGTAACGTGACAATATCACAGAATCAATGATCAAAATACAGAAATATAAAAAGATAGCTAATATTTTAGGGTATAAAAAGTGTGTACCATCATATATTATTAACTGTGAATAGATCTACTTAACAGAAATAGTTAGGTCACGTCCGGCGTGATGGAGCGATTGGAATAAGTATTTGGTTGACGTTTATGGTTTAGTTGACTAATGATGATAATCGAAGGTTTTTTAATGAAATCCAAAAGAGCTTGGATAACTAAAAAGATTTCCTTTAGTCTAAATTGTTCAAGAGTGAAAAAGGTAATGCAGAATCTGATGATTGTCTTGTTAAACAGATTGGTATGTTGGAGGAGAAATTATTTTCTAACGAAAAGTCTCTTGGTATTTTGGATACAAGCAATACTTTTTTAGAAGACTTTTAAAGACAATGTAGTAGTGCTACATTAGCCATCAGGGTGACGACTTCAAAATCCGCTGCGTGGTACAAGTCTTCACCACTCAATATACAGAATAACATTAAGAGATACTTAACAACATCTATATCATTTTAAAAAGATAATGTGAGTCATATATTAGCAAAATTACGTATATCTAAGAAATTCTTTTTTTAAAATTTTTTTTTTTTTTTACTATATTAAAGAAACATATAGCTATAGTTAATCGTTAATCGGTCAAGAAAAAGTAAAAATTTTAATCTTTAATCATATAAAATTTGATTTGTGTTTTAATGAAGTTTTTCACTTTGAATAGTAAATTTAAACACTTGATGACATCATAAAAAAAATTGTTTTAAAGTCTAAATGTTAATGTGTCAATACATTAAAATCTAATTTTGTTTCAAAAATAACATTATTTTAGTTTAAATAATTAATATTTGCACTATTTCAGTATAAATTGTAAAACATTATATGTAAAATGACACAGCTAGAATTTAAATATTTGAATAATTTATTTCTAAATTGTTATTTTCTGAAGTAAAAAAATCATTGTAATGCATTTGAAAACTATACTAATCTTTTGTTCATTTTGTTTTTTTACCGGAATAATAGTAAGTCAATTCCAACTTTTATTTATTTATTTATTAAATATGATAATTTTATATTTAAAGAGCGAGGGACTTAACGTATTTCAAATAAACCTCTTTGAATACTTGATAACGGATTATAATATTGGTAGATCCATTGAAAAAATACAACATGCATTATTTTGTCATGATATCGAAGAGACTTACAATGATTATAACCTTGATGGTAATTTATAATTAATATAATTTTTAGCTTTAGATTTACTGACACGATTTTTTCAATATATTCGCCAATTAATGTACTTTGTTTAGTTTTAAATTTATTTAGAATATAAAAAAAAAACTCAACCCAGTAGAGTGGGGTCGCGGCGCAGTGGTGACGTGGCATTGTTAGGTCTAGTATAGATTTAATCTGGCAGTGATTAAAATCACTATCTATAAAAACGCTTCGATGTAAATCTGTAGATAGTGTTTAATTTTAAGAAATTGGTGGATTACTACAAAAGCAACATGATCTCCTATTTCCTTATTTATATCCTTATTACATGTTTTATGATTTATAAGTGTAATATATGTATAAAAATTTACTATAGCAATTAAGTATAGTATAAAATTGATATTCAATAATTTAGTAGTGTAATTTTTACGATAAATTAAAAAAAATTATAAAGTAGTTAAAACTTTTATGGCAAACGCATATATAAGTTAAATTTCTTGTTGCAATATTTAAAAAAAAAAACCCAGCACAGGGGGATCGCGGCACNACAGTATTTAAAAAAAAAAGTTGTATGTTATTTATAAATAAATTTACTGGTCTAGAAGCAATTTTCATCCGAGACCAAAATATACTTGTCTAAACCCATTTTTACGCTAATTTCAAATCTGCAATTAAAGTTTCGCATATGGCCTAAATAATAACAAAATCCTTCTAATTAATATAACAAATATTTATGTTTGATTATTATTTTAAGTCTGGATTAATCAATACATATAATTTAATTACGAATAAGTTGAAAAAGTTCTACTTTCTATACGCATTTTAAGGTTTGAACCCTCCTGTAAAAAGAAAAATTATCAAAATATGAGTGAAGAGTCAGATCCCGCGTATTTCCCCTTNCATTATCCGATTTAAAAAAAATATATGTCTAATGAAAGAAGTATATAAATAGAATTTCTCATTACAAAATAGTACTGAAACAATACATTTTTCAAAAAGTTATAGAAATATTAAGTTAAAAATGTAAAAAATGAAATTGGAAATTTGAGCACAAAAATAGCATACGGTAGTCATTTTCACCGTTAAGACAACATAAAGTCCTAATTTTTTTTTTCTATATTACATTAGGCTTAATTAAAGTGTTTACATAAAAGTGTCAGTATTTCTGGAATACTTTCAAAAGTTAAGTCGAAAAAGTTAATTTTTTTGAAAAAGTTGTAATTTTGTATCCCTCTTGTAAAAGAAAAGGGTCAAATTTATAAAAAAAATTTTTCAAAATAATATTTTAATTGATATAGATTCGTGAATCTAGAAAAAAATGTATATTAATTTGGTTTTTTTTAAAAAACTTATGGCAATTTGAAATAAAAACAAAAAACCAGCACAGTAAAAAATAAAATCGAGTATTTTCACACAAAAGTCCGAATTTTATTTTTTCCATAATAAAGTATATTACATTAACTTTAATTTAAGATATACATAAAAGTGTCAGTATTTCCGGAACCCTTTCAAAAGTTAATTTGAAAAAGTTAATTTTTATTGGAAAAGTTTCCATTATGAAACGCTCCTGTGGGCATGTAAAACATGGTCCGATTAAAAAAAACAGTATGTCGAATATAAGGTGTATATAAATACTACTTCTCATGAAAAAATTGTATTGATCCATACATTTTACAAAAAGTTATAGCAAAATAAAATTAAAATGTAAAATATAAAATCGAGAATTTTCACACAAAAATAGAATTCGGTAGCGATTTTCACCGTTGGTGAAAAATCAATTTTTTTTTCTATGATAAAGTATTTGTAGTGAATCAAAAAAAAGAAGAAAAATATATTTTAAATTACTTTAATACTTTTGTTGATTTTAATATTATATTAATTAGGGGGTTATTAATTTAGGGAGCTACTTTGACAGTTGCTCAAAAGAAATAAGTTAAATAGAATATGACGGGATTTTGATTCTTATTTGATCCACTACTTTATTGTATTAATAATATTATTACTCGGGGTATGAGTACGAGGGTCTGTAAGAAAGATAGAAGATGATAGAAAAATAAAGTGATCTTTATTTTATTAATATGGGATTTATTATAATTAATTGTCAATTCTTAAATATCAATAATGCCACGAGTTTTGACGGTTATCGATGATAGGTGGGATTGAGTCACCTCGTGTGTCTACCCAGAGTGGTATGGTGGCTATACATATGAACCTCCAACCTAACTCCTGAAATAGACACGTATCAACGATATAACTCTGCCAAGTAACTCTGTACAAACATTATCGATTTATTAAATTTACTTGGTATATTTATTATTATTGATAATCACTTGATTTTCCTGTATGCCTACTTAATCTATGTACTCATAATATTTAATTTTAAACCTTATTTATTTTTGGTGAAATTATTAGATTCCTACCTTGATATCTTCTGCTATACTCTTAAATAAATAGATGTTGTATTTTGTGAACAAATATAACTGTGTTGACGGCGGATCACTTCTTGCTTATATTTCGTAGTGTGGAATGAGCGAGCGTAGTGAGTGCCTCTAGAAATATCTGATTGCATCTGTCTTAGAATGCTCTTTATTTTTGGCTTTTTATATTAAATTTGACCGTAGTTCAAAGGCAAGAAGTAATCCCCGACGCCACCGTTATTTCTTTATTAATCGTAATTTATTACATGTTATTTATTACATTTTCATCAATAATGATCTACATATTATAAATTACAATCATATCTCATATAATAATTTAGACATAGTTTATTACCCTTCATCTTATGTGCTACCATTACATATTGTTTATTATTTCCTGTTTGTTTTATATAATTAATATATACTCTTTTTCTACGAAATTTCATTAGTATTTTTAAACATTTAAAAGGTACATATGTATATCTTATTTTTATTGGTATACATTTTATTTTGTGAGATTGATTGATTGAAGTCTTAAATAATACATTATGACATTAATGATCTATTGTGTATACAAATAATTTATTATGACATTAATGATGTACTATGTATATCATTACATATTTTACATTAGCTTTAATTTAATATGTATATTTAAAAGTGTCAGACTTTCCAGAACACTTTCAAAAGTCAAGTCTTCAACTAGATTCGATTTGTGATCTTTTGACGTATTTTTATAATCAATCGTATTCTACACTATAAATCAAAATTTTTTCTTCATACAAAGTTAACTTTTGTTTCGTATGAATCAGCTAGACCATAGAATGTTTAGTTTTGCACCGCACTAGAATGCCGTTTACCTTAAGTCTGTTTAATTCACTATTTTTGAATCTGAAGAGGGAGAGGATGAGATCTCTCCTGGGAGGATAGCAGCTAATCGCACATCTTATAAGTAACGAGAGTAGACAATAATTAATGGCACGTAATGGTGGAAAGAACAGACGGCAGAAAAGCGACTATAGCAGTGTAGTTATTTAACCATAAAATGTTGTTTTTATGTGTACATACGAGTCACTAAGGTTTTTCTAATTTGGTAAATTTGAATTATTATATTTTAATGTAAACATATGACAGAACAATGATATTTCTATAGTGTAGATAAGATGTTAGTACTTTTCAGTCAGTGGTTTTTAAACTACAGACATGGATTTAAACTTAACGGTTCAGCGCAAATATGCGTACAATCAATACGTACGATGACATGTACCAATCGGGTGTAGTAATGTTATACTGCAGTGCGCGACTAGTGACATATACTTATTTGCTGTTAAAACTCATTAGTAAAATATGAATATATTTCGTGTTTGTATTAACATCAAGTCAAAATTTTATGGTAGTGTAACTATGTAAACTAATACTATTCGACTATTAAAAGATTACTATTAAGAAAATTTTTTTCATATTTTTAAATAATTTTTTAGCTTAGATGCAAAGCATAGAAGGTATTAATTTTACAATGATGTATTTTTTTTTGTCTGTTACCACTATAAATCAGTTCTCGCTGGTCCGATTTTGATAAACAATACGCAAAAAGCTTACAAATAGTATTTAGTCGAAGACATTACCATAAAAAATTGAAAATAATTCTCTCGCTTCCCGTAAATGTGGAAATTCCCCAAAGAATTGAAATTTTAAAAATCGATAACTTTCGAGATTTTTACAATTTTTTTTTTTAAACAGCAATAACTTTTTTAAAAATGAACAAACCACGCATTTGGGTATTCACCTCACATTTGATAAATTTTTGTGAACATTTGATCTTTTACGTGCCCACAGGAGGGTTTCAATATGGAAACTTTTCCAATAAAAAATAACTTTTTCAAATAAACTTTTGAAAGTGTTCCAGAAATACGTCAAAAGATCACAAATCGTATCTAGTTGAAGATATTACCCTAAAAAATTGAAAAATTTCCCTCGTTCCCCGTAAATGAGGGAAACCTCCAAAAAAATTACAAATTTAAAATCGCTAATTTTCAAATTTTTTAAAATTTTTTTTACTTAAAAGTGCCATTACTTTTTCAAAAATGAACAAATCAATATAATTCTTTTTTATATAGATGTATAATATCATTGTCTTTAATTTGGCATATTTTTTTTATAAATTTAACCTTTAACCTGCCCACAAGGAGGGATTTAAAATGACAACTTTTTTACAAAAAATTAACTTTTTCAACTTAACTTTTGAAAATGTTCCGGAAGATCTGACACTTTCATATATATCTTAAATTAAAGCTAATGTAATATAATTTAATTTGAAAAATAAATTTTACCTCTGGACTTTTTTCATGGTGAAAATGGCTGCCGAATGCTATTTTTGTGTGAAAATTCTCGATTTTATAATTTACATTTTTCATTTTAAAATGCTATAACTTTTTGAAAAATGTATGTATCAATACAATTTTTACATGAGAAGTAGTATTTATATACATCTTTCATTCGACATACTTTTTTTTTAAATCAAACTATTTTCCTATATACGGGGTGGCTTCAAATTTAAAAATGCATATAGAGAGTAGAACTTCTTCAACTTAATTTTTGGAAGTGTTTCGGAAATACTGACACTTTTATGTATATCTTAAATTAAAGTTAATGTAATATACTTTATTATGGAAAAAAAAAATTCGGACTTTTATTTGTCTTCGTGGTGAAAATGATTACCGAATGCTATTTTCATGTGAAAATTCTTATTTTTATTGCTATAACTTATTGAAAAATGTATGGATCAACACAGTTTTTTTATGAGAAATAGAATTTTTTAATAATCCATTTTTTCTTTCAGGATATTAATAAGAAAATAGCAGATCATGTAGCTTTTGGAATAATTCACAAATTTTTTAAAATTAAACACTATTTAAAGATTTGCATCGAAGCGTTTTTATTTTTGATAGTGATTTTAATCATTGTCAGATATCATTATAATTGATCCAACTAACTATGCCGCGACCCCCCCGTTCTGGGTTTTGTTTTTAACTTTATGTTGCAATAACTTTTTAAAACATATATAGATCAATACAATTTTTTCATGAGAAATACTATTTATATACTTCTCTCATTTGACCTATTTTTTATTTAAATTGGACGATTTCCCTTTATACAAAAGGTAGTTCTATCCTTTAAATATGCGTATAGAAAGTAGAACTTTATCAACTTAACTTTTGAAAACAGCGCAAAAAGTTGAAAAAGAAAAGTATATTTTTTCTTCTAAACTTAGTTCCATGTAGTCCAGTGTATTTATTCATAAGTAACATACAGAGGTTATTGAAAAGTATTGCGTCAAGCCTTTAAATTTTTATACGCGTTAAAAGTAAAGAAGTATACAACAACTTTATTATTTTTATAATTTCTCCGTAATAATTACAATATTAAATTATTGAATATCATTTTTATACTAAATTTAATTACTATAATTATTATTTATTCATATATTATATTTATAAATTAATGAACCACTAATCAGGATATAATAAAAGAAATAAGTTATTGTTGCTTATGAAATAATCTACCAATTTCTTAGAATTAAACACTATCTATAGATTTTCATCGAATCGTTTCTTATGATAGTAATGTTAATCACTGTTAGATATCATCTATACTTGCCCCGTCCACACTGTGCTACCGTTTTTTATTTTTATTGTTATTCAAAAAATATTAAATTGATGATGTTTAATTTTCAATTTTTTTGTTTTAACCTGTTATGGTTCTATAATACTTATTATATAATACTTAATTATTATTTTATTATTATTAATAATAATTATTATTAAGTAATAAGTATTATTAATAATTATTACAAATAGTTAATTATTATTTATTCATATATTATATTTATAAATTAATGAACCACTAATCAGGATATAATAAAAGAAATAAGTTATTGTTGCTTATGAAATAATCTACCAATTTCTTAGAATTAAACACTATCTATAGATTTTCATCGAATCGTTTCTTATGATAGTAATGTTAATCACTGTTAGATATCATCTATACTTGCCCCGTCCACACTGTGCTACCGTTTTTTATTTTTATTGTTATTCAAAAAATATTAAATTGATGATGTTTAATTTTCAATTTTTTTGTTTTAACCTGTTATGGTTCTATAATACTTATTATATAATACTTAATTATTATTTTATTATTATTAATAATAATTATTATTAAGTAATAAGTATTATTAATAATTATTACAAATAGTTAATTATTATTTATTCATATATTATATTTATAAATTAATGAACCACTAATCAGGATATAATAAAAGAAATAAGTTATTGTTGCTTATGAAATAATCTGGCAATTTCTTAGAATTAAACACTATTTACAGATTTTCATCGAATTGTTTCTTATGATAGTAATGTTAATCACTGTTAGATAATATCTATACTTGCCCCGTCCACACTGTGCTTCAACCCTACTGTGCTACCGTTTTTTATTCTTATTGTTATTCAAAAAATATTAAATTGATGATGTTTAATTTTCAATTTTTTTTTTTAACCTGTGTGGTTCTATAATACATTATCTCGTCCAGTAGTTTAGTGACCCTTGTTTTTCTTATTTTACAGCACCATAAAAGTTACAAAATTTATATTTTCTGGACCAATTATTTGAATTTTGAAGTGAATCTTTTTTATAGATAGTCCAAAAAATACGATAATTGAGCGTCATGATCGGCCACAGTAGGCTGTAAAGTTTATTTTACATTATAATTTAATTTATGAAAATTCAGTTTATCTGCGCATACTCGTAATACGAAAATGTTTTTTTTTATGATATGTGTAACCTTTCAACATAAATAAAAAGTAAATGGTGTCAATTTACTTATGTTTTTAATTATGCTCCTGTAATATTTGGTGCTCTCTCAAAACATTTAACCTAGAACTACCATTAGTATTTATACTACTACACTAAGTTTTTGTATCCTAATTTTTATTAAATATTACAGCATTATGCAATTCCGAACAACAAAAGTTTACAAATGTTATACTGTGTAACTGAATTTTTCTTATATTCTAAAATAATACTAAAAATTTAATTTTCTTTGAAATAGAAAGAGTTGAAAAATTATTTCATTAACGTATTTCCATTAAATTTTGCAAAACTAATCTCTTTAATTACCTTACAACTTATTTTAAAAATTACGTGTTAATAAATTTGAATGTAATAAGATATGATAAAAACTTTTTCTTGAAACACATTTTGATATTTTCATTATGTTTTGAGAAAAATTATTAATAAAACATGAAATTTTAAATACACTCTATTTAAGATATTCATATTTTATAGATGAAAGAAGTTTAAGACTTTTCAAGATTTTGAATTTTTTGGCTAGAATTAAAAAGAGAGGCGATGACAAAAGAGTAAAATCACATAATAATTAGTTTATTAGCATTTATATATGACTTATTTATTAAATTATTTTTTATTCTTTAGTTTGAAAAACTTGATATAAATGAGTTTCAAATAATCTCAAATAAATTTAGTAATCTTGATACAGGCAACAGTGGCTTGATACTTAAGGAACAATGCATTACATTGATTGATTCTATTGGTTTCTGTGAATCTAGTGGAGGAATCGTAATTATAAATTTATTTAACAATATTCATAAGTATTTACATTCAAGATACACTGCATAAGATTTTTTCTCTCTACACAAAAATAGTACAGCCAATATTGATTTTGAAAAAAAATAATAATAAATAAGATCATAAAAATATATGCATACGAATTATGACCAAAAATATTCAGTGTTCCTCACAATAATTTTACGTATATTTTTATTCTCAATTTTTAATAAATCTCACAACAAGAAAATTAAAGTTACGTTAACTTTTCAGAATTAGAACTTAGCCAACTTTACTTATGACTAAATACAAATTAAGAGATCATAAAATAAATTTTATACAGTGCAATTTATTAAATATACTACCCTTCATTTTTCGTAAAATAATGATTTTTTCATAAAAAAGTATAGAATAAAATTTAATTTTTTAGCTTTCATGCAAAGCTGAGATGGTATTAATTTTACTACGATGTTTTTTTTTTGTTATTATTTTTTTTTTTGTCTCTTACCACTTTTTCTCAGCTTTCACAGGATTGATTTCTTTCAACGATACGTCAAAGATCACAAATCGTATGTAGTTGAAGATATTACCCTCAAAATTGAAAAAATTTCTCTTGATCCCCGTAAATGGCGGAAATCTCCAAAAAATCACAATTTTCAAACTTGCTAATTTTCGAAATTTTTTCAAATTTTAGCTTCGATGAGAAGCTGAGAAGGTATTGGTTTTACTATGATGTGTTTTTTTTTTTTTTTTTTTGTGTCTGTTACCACTTTTTCTCAGCTCTCACCGAACGGATTTCTTTCAACGATACGTCAAAAGATCACAAATCGTATCTAGTCGAAGACATTACCCTTCAAAATTGAAAAAATTTCCCTCGTTCCCCGTAAATGGGGGAAACCTCCAAAAAAATTACAAATTTAAAAATCGCTAATTTTCGAAATTTTTTCAATTTTTTTTACTAAAAACTGCCGTAACTTTTTCAAAAATGAACATATCAATATAATTTTTTTTTATATAGATGCTTGATGTCTTTACCTATCATTTGGTATATTTTTTTTGTAAATCTGACACTTAACCTGCCCACAGGGGGGGATTTAAAATGACAACTTTTTCACAAAAAATTAACTTTTTCAACTTAACTTTTGAAAATGTTCCGGAAGGTCTGACACTTTTATATATATCTTAAATTAAAGCTAATGTAATATGCTTTATCATGAAAAAAAAAAATTTGACCTTTGGACTTGTCTTCATGGTGAAAATGGCTACCAAATGCTATTTTTGTGTGAAAATTCTCGATTTTATAATTTTCATTTTTTACTTTAAAGTGCTATAACTTTTTAAAAAATGTATGAATCAATACAATTTTCATCAATACAATCTTTCATTAGGTATACTTTTTTTTTTAAATCAGACCCTTTCCCTATATATGGGGGGGTTTAAAATATAAAAAATGCATATATAAAAAAGAACTTTTTCAACTTAACTTTTGAAAGTGTTTCAGAAGGTCTGACACTTTTATATATATCTTAAATTAAAGCTTATTTAATATACTTTAATTTGAAAAAAAAAGTGTTGACCTCTGGACTTTTTCTTCGTGGTAAAAGTTGACATCAAAATTAATAAAAAATTACGATTTTTGTAAAATAATTTTTTTTTATATTTTTAACTTAATAATGCTCTAACTTTTTCAAAAATGAACATATCAATATAATTTTTTTTTATAAAGATACTCAAAGTCTTTATTTATCATTTGGTATATTTTTTTTGTAAATTTGACACTTAACCTGCCCACAGGGTTGGGATTTAAAATGACAACTTTTTCACAACAAATTTACTTTTTCAACATAACTTTTGAAAATGTTCCGGAAAATCTGACACTTTTATATATATCTTAAATTAAAGCTAATGTAATGTACTTTAATTTGAAAAAAAAAAATTTGACCTCTGGACTTGTCTTCATGGTGAAAACGGCTACCGAATGCTATTTTTGTGTGAAAATTCTTGATTTTATTATTTATATTATATTTAACTTTATAATGCTATTACTTATTGAAAAGTTTATGGATCCACACAATTTTTTTATGAGAAATAATATTTTTTAATAAACCCTTTTTCATTCGACATACTTTATCTTAATCAGGATATTAATAAGAAACCAGCAGATCAAGTAGTTTTTGGAATAAAACACCAATTTTTTTAAAATTAATTACTATCTAAAGATTTGCAACGAAGCGTTTATTTTTGATAGTGATTTTAATCACTGTCAGATATCATTATACTTGAATCAACTATGCCACGACACAACTGTGCCGCGACCCTCTGTGCTGGGTTTTTTTATCTTACATTTTTAACTTTATAATGCTATAACTTATTGAAAATTGTATGGATCAATACAATTTATTTATGAGAAACAATTTTAAAATACTTCTTTCAATGGACATATTTTTTTTTAAATCGGACCATTTCCCTTAATACAGCAGGGATTCAAAACTTAAAAATGTATTTAGTAAGTAGATCTTTTTCAACTTAATTTTTGGAAGTATTCCGGAAACACTGACACTTATATACATATATATTTTTATAAATTTAATGCTTATGTTATATACTTTGATATGATATTACAAGTAGGCAATTCCTATCGCGTTGATATATTGGATATGACCCCATTAGATCAATACTAACAAACTCCCATTGCTGGCAGGGCTGTCTTGCTTTTGTTTCCGTGGTTAAACACAAGCATACACATGAAATCTTGCGATATATTGATGTATCGACTCTTTCATATTGTCCCAGAAGAAATGATTATCAATGCTATGGTAAGTTTCTTTCCACCCTGGATGTCCTGCAAAAACACGGTCATGATACCTCCTAGCAGGTGATCTGACATATCCGAAGGAACAACGATAATCTTCCCGTCTGTTCCGTTATTTACCGGGTATTTTAACAAAATACCATCTTGCTAGTTGTATTCTTGGTGTTAGCGCCTGTAAAGTGGTTTATCACTCCGGAGCTTCCGGACATACTTGGCCAAAGTTTCATCTTTGGCTTGCCAAGTTCTTATATCGGAAATAGCTATATTCTTCGGATAGGTATTCTTTTTTTATGGCCCCTAGTTTATTTCGTACGAGTAAATCTCCGGTCAACGGTAGATCATGGTAGTTTTCATCTAAACGATCTTCATCTACCGGAGTTTTCTACACAGGGCTTCTTGATAGGGCGTCCACTGCTTAATTTTCATTTCCAGGCACGTGCTGACTATCAATGTCGAACGCTCCTAGCTTTAACGCCTAGTGAGTCAACTTACTGTTGATTAGGCAGGATAAGAAACAATGTAATAAATTGGTTGATTCTATTGGTTACTGTGATTCTAGTAGAGGAATCGTAATTATAAATTTATTTAACAATATTCATAATTATTTACATACAAGATACATTTCATAAGATTTTTTCTCTCTACACAAAAATAGTACAGCCAATATTGATTTTGAAAAAATAATAATAAATAAGATCATAAATTTATATTCACACGAATAATAACCAAAAAAATTTCAGTGTTCCTCACAATCATTTTGCATATATTAAAAATCATATTATTTGTTCATATATGAAAAAATTTATGTCAGTTATTATAAAAATGTTTAAAAATATCGAAATATATAGATTTTAAAAATTAATTTTTTTTCATTATTAAGAGCAATTGATTTGCGATCTTTTGACTTATCGTTAAAAAAATTGGTCCAGTGATATTTAAAAATCTGACGACAGACTTAAAAAAAACACATTATAATAAAATTAATACATTCTGAGTCTCGCATCGAAGCTGTTATATTATATTATAAACTTATTATATGTTTTTAACTATCAAAATGAGAATAGTCTTTATTTTAATAGGGTGAAAACTGTATGAGTTGTTAAAATTTTTATTTATAGAAAAGCGGAGTGTTCAGGTAGGGTAGAAGAATTCTTATCTTTTTATTATTGTGTAAATAGATCATTGCTAAACACTACCTCACTCCTCATTTTCCCTAAATTATCAAATTCTAATATCTTAAAAAATAATTAAACATTAGTTAACGACAAGTCAAAATTTTATTTTAACAATTATATATTTTATAAAAAAAATTTAAAAATAAGTTCCATTTAAATTTCGAAAATTACCTATATCTTAGGAATAATTTTTCTTTATAATAAACTTGATATTCAATGGCTGAAGATAAAAATATTTAATTTTCATTTTTAAATTTTTTGTGAAAAAATTATTATTTAACGAAAATATTAAATAATTGCATGTTAAATTATTCACACTTATCTGAATTATCAATTATCAAATGAATTAAAATTATCTATAGTGATAATAGTATCACTATAGATACTATTATTCTAATACATAAGTATTCTTACTAAAGAATTTAGAATCTTTTTATGAATAATTTATAAGCAGTTCTAAATTATTAACATAATTTTTAATATATTAAATTATAAATAATAAAAAATGAGAGATATTTTTTGTGGATTGGAAACTCTGCGAATTTAAAAGTAATTATGTAAACCTATTCTATGTTGAAAACTGTTAGAGTCAATCATAAATCTATCTTTTCAATTAATTTCTAATCCCTGAAAAGTTTTTCTACGAATGTTAGCTCATTTTTGCTTACATACGTTTCAAGATGAGTGATCGTGATTTAAAAATTGAAATACACTGTGCTGTACGATTTTGACTTCAATTAAACAAATCTGCTCCTGAAATCGTTAAGATAATAGTGACATTTTAAAAAAAGAATCCTTAATTAAGTTAACAATATACCGATGGTACAAAGCATTCAAAGAGAAACACGTCTAGTCCTCGCCGCCGATAAAACTTTTAAAGAAAAAACAGTGATCACAGTCATTATTCTGATATTTTTAGTACATCAAGTGGTTTTTTATGACATCACTCTTAAAAAAAACCATATCGCAGAAAATTGGATCTTACATCATTATAATGCCGTTCACGGAAATTAAGGTAGTGGTAA